GTTTGGCTCCTGAACTTCCACCTGGTGCTGCACGTCGCCCGGAAGGACTTCCTGGCGTGCGCTCTCCTGTGAGCGGCAGCGAGGCCCGCCCCCTGTTTGCCTCCCCCCTTGCTTGGTCTTGTCTCTTTTCGCTTTCCTCTTCCCGTGCGCTAATTTGGGCCGTCGCCTCTGTGCTTCGCTCCTTGACGCCGCCCGATTTGTCGCCGCGGTCGCGATCCAAAAAAGTGCCCCCGCCAGCCCATTCAGAAGCCCTGTCCATGAGAGCTGACGGGAAAAGGGACGACGACACACATCTAGGGAAACAAAGCGAGCAACCAGGGTGGATCGAGAGATCTGTGGGTTTTGGGGCGTCTTAGGGCCCTCATGGGGCCCTCTGGAGTTTTTTTTTTTGATCTCTTGGCGTTCTCTTGGGGCCCTCTTGGGAGCTATGGGGCGCCTCTGGGGGCGGTCTTGGAGACCATCGATCAAAGGAGGGGGGTCCTCGATTTGCTCCGCCCCCCCTCCAGGGCCATCAAAAGCGCCCTTTGGGGCCCTGTTGGGGCGCTTTTGGGGCGATCTTGGGCGCTCTTGGGGCCTTTTTGGGGGCCTCTTGGGCCCCTGTTGGAGCTTTCTTGATCCATCCTGGGGCCATGTTGAAGCTTCAAGAGTGCATCGGAAACGAAAAGGCGAGAAGGCACCAAACGTTTATTTTTTTTTCGGTTTTTGAAGGATTTTGGCTTCTCGGGGGGCCCCGGGGGAGCTTCGAGAGCACCCGGAACCGTCTTGTGGCCCTCTTGGGGCTTTTTGGAAGCAGGTTGTTAGTTTTCTTGAGCCATGTTGGCTATCTTGAATGATCTTGGAGGCTATGTTGGACTCTCTGAGGCCATCTTGGGGCCATTTGAACAGGAAAAGGGCCCTCTGCCACCTCGCGCCCCCCCCCCGTCCAGGCCCAGGGGAGGGGGTATGGGGGAGGTGTGAACCCTTCCCCGAAGGGGAGAAGGGGGTTTTGGAACGGGGAAGAAAGATGTCGTTAGACCGCCTGCGCCCAGAGGACTGGTGGGATTCCACAACGCGAACATGTCGGGGTCTATGTCGAAACCCGTGCGGATGCCTTACTTCCCGCCAGCCCTCCCGCCGTCCCCGAGCCTCCAGGAGGCGGAGCGCGACCGCATCCGGAAACACCTCGCGGCGCGCCCGCCCTCCGCCGCCGTCTTTGCCGTCGTCGTCGTCGTCGTCGTCGTCGTCGTCGTCGTCGTCGTCGTCGTTGTCGTTGTCGTCGTCGTCGTCGTCGGCGTCGGCGTCGGCGTCGGCGTCGGCGTCGGCGTCGGCGTCGGCGTCGGCGTCGGCGTCGGCGTCGGCGTCGTCGTCGTCGTCGTCGGCGTCGTCGTCGTCGTCGCCGCCGTCGCCGCCGGTGTCGTCGTCGTCGCCGTCGCCGTTGCCCGATGAGATGAACATCAGGAGGAGGATGATGAGGTGGAGGAGGGGGAAGAGGAGGAGGGGGAGGGGGATGAGGAGGAGGATGCGGAGGAGGAGGAGGAGGCCAAGGAGGATGAGGAGGAGGAGGAGGACGAGGGGGAGGAGGAGGAGGAGGAGGGAAAGGAGGTTTTGATGATGATGATGATGATGATGATGATGATGATGATGATGATGATGATGATGATGATGATGATGATGATGATGATGATGATGATGATGATGATGATGGTGATGATGGTGATGATGCTGATGTTTCCTGAATGTTTCCTGGGCGCATGCGGACGGTGGCACTGGGGCCTTCGATGGAACTCCCCATGTTGCCACGAAGCGCTGTACTGGGTGGGTGAGAATGCCAAATTTGATGTTTCGGGGCGCATGCGGGCGGTCTCACTGGGGCCTTCGGTGGAGCTCCCCATGTTGCCACGAAGCGCTGTCCTGGGTGTGTGAAAATGCCAAATTGGATGTTTCCTGGGCGCATGCGGGCGGTGTCAGTGGGGGCTTCGGTGGAGCTCCCCATGGGGCCACGAAGCGCTGTACTGGGTGGGTGAAAATGCCAAATTGGATGTTTCCGGGGCGCCTGCGGGCGGTGGCAGTGGGGCCTTCGGTGCAGCTGCCTACGGGGCCACGAAGCGCTGTACCGGGTGGGTGAAAATGCCAAATTGGATGTTTCCGGGGCGCCTGCGGGCGGTGGCAGTGGGGCCTTCGGTGCAGCTGCCTACGGGGCCACGAAGCGCTGTACCGGGTGGGTGAAACTGCCAAATTGGATGTTTCCGGGGCGCCTGCGGGCGGTGGCAGTGGGGCCTTCGGTGCAGCTGCCTACGGGGCCGCGAAGCGCTGTACCGGGTTGGTGAAACTGCCAAATTGGATGTTTCCGGGGCGCCTGCGGGCGGTGGCCGTGGGGCCTTCGGTGCAGCTGCCTACGGGGCCACGAAGCGCCGTACCGGGTGGGTGAAACTGCCAAATTGGATGTTTCCGGGGCGCCTGCGGGCGGTGGCCGTGGGGCCGGACCGCTCCCGCCTCCCAGCCCCGCGCCCCTCGTCCCCGGCGCAGAGGTCTGCCGAGCCCGCGCCCGCCGCCGCAGCGTCGCGGCGAGGCGCCGGGCGGGCGTGCGCGCGCGCGCTTCCCTCGCCTCTCTCGTCGGGGGCAGCGGTAGGGGGGGATGGGCTCAGGGGGGATCGATGCTTTCGTCTGTTCTCGGTGTTTTTTTCCGTCCCGGGGGTGCGCTCTAGCAGCTGCGCCTCGCCGAGAGCGTGTCGGGGTGCCCCGAGCGTCCCGAACGGCCGCTGGAGACCCGAGTCACGACCCCCAAACCAGAGGCCAATCATCAGAGTCGGAGTCGAAGATCAGCGGCGACGTTGGTCACCGAGCGCTTCCCACTACTCGCAAAGTGCCCACTCGCACACGCCCGAAAAACACACGTCTGATTCGACGTCATTTCTCGTAGATCCCCCCAGCGGATCTCACCACCCACCAAACCACAGGATGAGGAGGAGAAGGAGGATGAGGAGGAGGAGGAGGAGGGGGAGTAGGAGGAGGAGGAGGAGGAGGAGGAGGAGGAGGAGGAGGAGGAGGAGGAGGAGGAGGAGTCAGAGTCGGAGTCGGAGTCGGAGGAGGAGGATGAGGAGGAGGAGGAGGAGGAGGAGCGCAAGCTGAGTGTAAGGGGCGGCCCCTGTGGAGCGGTCAGCAGGCTTGGAGGGGGCCGGGGTGTGACTTCGCGGGGCGCAGTGCGGAAGCCAAGAAGAGCCGACGACCAGCCGCCAGGCCCAACGGCACGGCCAGTTGGCGCCGCGTCGACGCGGCGGCGACGCGGGCGCTGGCGCTCACTGTCGAAGTCTGCTGGAGGCCTCTGAACTGTCGAGGAGAGGAAACTACCGGGAATCAGCGCGCTCCGTCGTCACATCGGGCGGCACCAGCCTTGTGTCTCGGAGAGAACCTCTGCCGATCCATGGACCTGGCGCCCCCGCGCCAGTTCCACGGACCCCCAAGTCCACGTTTCGGCGGCGACCGAGGGGGGGAAGTGAGAAGGAGAAGGCCCTCTCAGAAGTCGGCGGGGCTTCTCAGAAGCCCTCGCGCCTTTGAGAAGTTTTCCTTGTCTTCGGGGAAAACTTGGAAAACTTCTCAGGAGGTCGTGTGACTTCCGAGCCTTCTGAGAAGGCCCGCCCCTTCTCGCTTCCCCCCCGGGCTCGCCGCCGAATGTCTGCGCGATCCCGAAACAGGGCCACCCTCAAACAGTCTCTGCTGTCCGACAGGGGGGTCGCTAGCGATTGACTGATTTCAGGAGGGGAAAAACACAGACACAATTAATCGTCGATTCCCCAGAAAATCTGGAAAAATAGGGGAAGTGGGGGGATGAAGAAAACCCGGAACATCTGGGCTTTTGGGGGCCTTTTGGGGTCCTCGTTGGGGGTTTCTTGGGGGCCTCTTGTGTTTCTGTTGGAGCCTCTTTGGGGTTTCTGTTGGAGCGTCGGGAACCGCTTGGGAGCCGCTTGGGAGCTTCTTGGGGGCCTCGTGAGGACCTTTTGGGAGCCTCCTGGGGCTTCTTAGGGGCCTCTTGGCGCCTCCTGGGGGCTTCTTAGGGCCGAGGGCTCGAAATGTTGTTTCGTGTTCCCCCTCTGGGCTTCTCTTAGAGCGTTCTTGGGGCCCTCTTGGGCCGTCTTGGAGGCCTCTTGGGCCGTCTTGGAACCCTCTTGGGCTGTCTTGGGGCCCTGTCGGAGGCCTCTCGGGCCTCTTAGGACGATCTTGGGGGCCTCTTGGGCCGTCTTGGGGTGTCGCGATGCCGAAAAGGTGGAAACGCCAAAATCTCCCCCAAACCAAAGGAAAAGCATCGAATTTTGCCTCTTGGGGCCCTCTTGGGAGTGCTCTTGAAAGCCTCGTGGGGCGTCTGGGGGCTATCTTGAGCGTCTTGGAGCGATCTTGTGGCATCTCGGACCCTTGGTGTACCATCTTGGAGGCCTCTTGGGCGCTCTTGGCTCTTCTTGGGACTCTCTCTTGGCCCTTCTTTGGGTCTCTCGGGGGCGTCTCGGGGCCCTGTTGGTGCGCTCCTGGAGCGCTCTGGGGGCTTCTCCCGGGACCTTGCCGGGGTACTTTTCGTCCGGGGACCCCCAGGGGCCGCCCCGCGCGCGCGAATTAGAAATACTGAGAATCAGTAACTGGAGATCTTAGCACGCCTCTGGTTCGTTGGGCCGGCGAATTTGTGTGTCCCAGGGCCCCTTGAGGGGTCAGGGACCAGCGTCCACGCCGGCGCGGCAAGGATTCGACCGTGAGCGTTTTTTCCGTGATCGAGCCTCCGAGATCGGCTTCGTTTTACCAGTGGCCCGCGGCTCGTAGGAAGGCCATTGGAGTGGCGTGAATCCCTGGATGACATGGTCAAATGGCGCTCAGGATGCGGAGGATCAAGAAGAGTTGGAGGAGAAGCATGCCATTCACATACTCGACTGTCCACAGACCAACTAGCAAGTACTGCATGTTCCACGATATGCTGCTGTATGGCCCCTCGCTTTCGAAGTGAAATGGAACGCTTGAGGAGTTGAGTCTATTTTCTCTATAGCCATTTGGGCTCGAGCCATTTCGGCTCCGGCGGCTTCTGTCGCAAATCAAGGAACTCTCGTCACACATCTTTGCAATGCCCCTGAAGTTCACAACTCTGCGCGCTGCAGCATTGCATATCGAGAAATGCGATCCAGCAGTGACGGCAGTGGAGTGCGTCTTTGGTGGTGTGGATGATCAGGACGTTGTCTTGTTTTCGAAGGCATTAGAGGGAAGCCAGTATTTACGAGACTTGACCTTGGGATACGGATTGACCCAGTCTGGTATTGAGCGCCTGGTGGCATCTATGGCTCTCAGCCCTTCCCTCAAAGCTGTCAATTTGGAAGGTAATCGACGTTTGGGTGCGCGTGGTATTGCTACTGTTCTGAGGTGTGCACATTTGAATATCATATCGCTTGGATGCTCGGCTTGTGGAATCTGTGATGAGGGTTCACACTTGATGGCCGCGGCCCTGAAATCAAGCACGTGGATCCACACCCTGCGCGACTTGTACCTATCACGGAATAGTTTGACCGCAATTGGCGCGGAGCATGTGGCCATGCCCTTGGCCCACTGCAGTTCCCTCGCCAGCTTGGATATTAGCTGGAATCGCAAGATTGGGGCCGTCGGTGTTGCGGCCTTCATGCAATCTGGGGCTCCGCTCACCACATTGGTCTGCCGGGCTTGCGGAATTTATGATGATAATGTACAGTTGATTGCCAATGCCTTCAACAAGACAGACATCCAGATCAGTGCATTAGATTTGGGACACAATGATCTGATCCCTTTCGCTTCGCGGGGTGCAAGGCTGGACATGCGGCTCATCTGGTTCTTTCCCACATCCTGAGTGGCGCTCTTGTTTTCTCAGTACACCCCGCGCAGGCCTCCTCACCCCCCCCGCGCAAGAATCATCGTTGTCATCATCATCATCATCATCATCATCATCATCATCATCATCATCATCATCATCATCATCATCATCATCAGCAGCAGCAGCAGCAGCAGCCGCATCATCATCATCACCATCATCATCGACATCGTCATCATCATCGACATTGTCTTCATCACCTCCAGTATCACCAGTACTATCATCATTCGCATTACCATTATCCTCATCTTGCGCACTCACATCATCTCTCTCGCACACTCACTCACGCTCTCACTCACACAAGCACGCGCACTCACTCACTCACTGACTCACACACCCACTCACTTACACATACACTTGTCTTGGCGAATTCTCAAGCGGGAGCCTCGTATGTGAATGAAAAAAAAAAGGTCCAGCGGGAGCCTCTGCCCTTAGGCCCCCAGATCATGCTACCAATCCGAGGGGGTCATCTTCGGAGACAGTATGCAGCGGAAGCCTCGTCAGTAAGTGAACTGCAGGGAAGACTCAGGCGGGACCCCCTCCGTATGAGGCCCCCAGATCATGTTACTGATCCGAGGGGGCCATCCAAAGCTTCTAATTGTCGTCACTTCCGGGCTTCTGTGGATTCAATCTGGATGCAGTTCGGAGCGGTAGCCTCGTCCGTGAGTGAATTGCAAGGACACGACGTCTCGGGTGGGACCCCTCTTTATGAGGCTCCCAAGATGATGTTCCCACTCCGATTGGGCCATCCAAAACTTCTAACTGTCAACACTTTGGCCCCCTGCAGACTGACTCTGGAGGAAGTCTGGAGCGGGAACCTTGTTTGTAAATGAATTGCGAGGAAGTCTCAGGCGGGAGCACCTCCCTTTAGGGCCTTCCAGATCATGTGACCAGTCTGGGGGGTCATCCACATCCTCTAGCTGTCGTCATTGGCTGGGCCCCTGAGGAGTGAATCTGGAGGAAGTCTGGAGCGGGAGCCTCCTTACAGGAGGAGGCATCTGGAGGAGGAGGAGGAGGAGGAGGAGGAGGAGGAGGATGAGGCATGTGGATGAGACAGGAATAGGTCGGAGCAGGAGGAGGAGGACGAGGAGGAGGAGGAGGGGAAAGAGGATGAACATACGAAAGGGTCGCGGGGAAAACGCAGGAGGAGGATGAGAAGAAGGAGGAGGAGGAGGGCGAGGAGGACGAGGAGGAGGAGGAGGGGGGTAGGGAGGAGGCGACCGAGATGATCAGGACCACGACAACGACCACGAGTACGAGAAGCTTCAGCGGAGATGTGCTTATGCAGGTTGTGGCGGCGAGTGGGCCAATGAAAATATATTGCGCGCCTAGGGAGGAGAGAGGAGGAGAAAGGAGAGAGGACCCCACAATTACAGAGACGACGATGAGGATCACGTTCGAGCTGGCTCAGGAGCTTCCCGTGTGGGGTCCTGCCGTCGGAGGGATTTCTGTGCCTTCTCCTCTTCTGTGCCCTCCCTTCTGCCTCTACTCCTCTTCCTCTTCCTCCCCCCCCTCCCCCTTCTGCATCGTTTCTCTCGCTCTGTGATTCAAGACGCCTGAGGATCCTCCGGGGCATTCTGGGGGCCGCAGGGGCCGTCTTGGAGGCCTCTTGGTGCCCCATTGCGTTGTTTTGGTGCCATCATGGGGCCATCCTGGGTTGTCTTGGACTTCTGGGGGCGACACTTTAAATAACCTGAGGCATTCGAGCCCGATTGCGGTTTGCGGAGTTGCGTAGAAATGGCGGGGGGGTTAACGCGGGCAGCTTTGTTAAAGGCAGAGTGCGGTTTCTTAATCTGGTTTGGACGATTGTCTAGTTTGCCTGAGCCCTTGCGTGACACACTCGTCCTTGCGCCGCAACCCCTGGTCTTCATATTGTAATGAGCCTCCGGGCGTCCTGTGCCCTTAGTGGGTCTTTCTAAGGCTGCCTGGGGCCTCTCTTGAGCTCTTGGGCTGTCTTGCGGCGTTTGGTGCCCTCCAAGGGCCCTCTTCCTGTGGCCGTCTTGGGCTATGACGTATACCATAGAACGGGGAATAAGATTCCGGGACCCCGGGCTGGCACACTTTTTCAAAACTCCACCTCCCCAGATCCCATTTTAGTCCCTGCGGGGTCCCGACTTCTTCCGCGGCGATTCCGGGCCAAGCCCGCCGTGGGGGGGTCACCCAGTAGCCCCCAGAACGATCAGACAGCTGTCCCGACGCCGCAAGACTGCCCCGAGCTACACCGAAGACGGCATCCAGGGGTTTCAGACGGCCCAAGCAGATTTCTCTGGACGGCCCAAGAAGTCCCCAAAACAGCCCAGGAAGACTCCAGGACCCCGACGAATGCCCCGAGAGGCCAAAACCATTTTGTTTTCCATTGCTTTTTGATTATTTTTTGCGTTCAAGCCTTTTCTGGCTTCCAATGCTTCAAGACGGCCCAAGAGGCGCCCAATACCGCCCCGAGAAGGCCCAAGAGACCCCCAAGAACACCCCAAGACGGCGTCAGAGGCTTCCTTGGGAGCCCCAGGATGATCCGAGAGGGCCCCAGGACGGCCAAAGGAGCCCCTCAAGACGGCCCCAAAAGGGCCCTAGAGCGGCCCCAAGAGGGGCCCAAGAGGGGGAGCACGTACCCACAATTCCAACCTTCGCCCCCACAGGCCCCCAGGAGGCCCTCAGAGGCCCCTGAGAGGCGCCACTGGGCCCCCAAGTGGCCCCAAGAGGCCCCAAGAGGCACCCACGAGGCCCGAAAGGGCCCCAAGAACCCCCAAACGTCCCCCAAGAGGCTTCGAACGGGGAACCAACGAACACCCCAAAGGCCTCTGACACACAGCCCCAGCACCGTGGCAGGATGGTCCGAAGGCCTATACATATTCCTCTTCCTATATTTTTATAAGCCCGGGCGGGGGGAAAACCCATCCCCCCCCCCCCCCAAAACCGGACTCCTGGGACCTGGGGCTTTGGGGCCCTCCGAACGGGCCTCGAAGCGGCCACCGGGCCTCGCAAGGCGTTTTGCCAAGCCTTCCCAGCACACTTAGGGCGATCAGGGCGGTCATCGGAGACGTCCCAAAGACCCCCAAGACAGCACAAGAGCGCTCCAAGAGTGACCGACGTGACCTCAAGATGGCCTCAGAGGCCTCCAGGACGGCCCCAAAGAGGCCTCCAAGAGCACTCCCAAGAAGGCCCCCCGAGGCAAAAAACATTGATTTTCTGTGGGTTTTTGGTGAATTTTGGGGTTCTCCTCTTTTCGGCTTCCCGACGCTCCAAGACGGCGTGGGCGTCCGAAGCCGCCTGGGAGGCTCCCAAATAGCCCCACAACCATCCGAAAGGGCTTCCAGGCAGTACAAGAGAATCCCAAAACGGCACAACACGGGTCCAAGATGGCGCTAAGAGCGCCCCATGGCGGCCCAAGATGGCCCAAAGCCACCCTCCGAAGAATTCCAAATCGTGATTCGGTCGTTCAGGGAGACGGTGGTTGGAGGCAGGGTGGCCCGAGGAAGCCCCTGGAGGCCCCCAGAATACGCCCAGGAGGCCTTCAGAAGGCCTTAAGAAAGCCCGAAACAACTTTTGTGAGGCCCTAGAGGCTCTCCAAGGAGGAGCCTCCGCAAAAAAGAGCTGAGGAGGATGGGGAGAATGCGCAGGGTATGGCGAAAATAAGGAACAATAAGCATGGAGGAAGGATAACGAATAACATCATTATAGCGGCGATGCCGGAAAAGGCGAACAGGAGTTATCGCTAAATTGTCGGCTTGACCTTCCTGCCATTCCGCCTGCATACCAAACTTCAAGGACCAAGGTGCATGGCGCGAAGCCCAGGGGGGGGAAAACCATCCCCCCCAAAACTGAACCCCCGGGATCTGGGGTCCTTGGAAAAGGTCACCCGGCTTTTCGGGTCTCCACAAACGCCTGGCCAGCAGACCCAGAGCGATCCGAGGGGTCATCAGAAAGGCTCAAGGGAGGCCCCAGACAGCACAAGAGCGCTCCAAGATGGACTCCAATTGCGTCAGGACGGCCCAAAAGACCCCCAAGGCACCCCAAAAAGCTTCCCAAGGGGCCTTCAAAGCACACAAATCGTCCCATTCCCTTCGTACAACTTACAATTTTAGCGTATTCGCCTTCCGGATTTCATCAGCTTTCAAGACGGTTTCAAAGCCCCCGAGATCGCCTCCAGACGCCCCAAAAGGCCCCCAAGAAAGTTTCAAGACGGCCGAGCAGGGCACCACGATCGCCCACTTCAGCCCCAAGACAGCCCATAATGGAACCAAGAGGCCCCCCAGCACAGACCCAAAAGGGCCATGGGAGGTCCCCGGAAGTGCCCAAGATGGGTCCACAGGGGGCTCCAGCGGGCCCAAGCTCCCCAGGACGGCCCAAGAAGGCCCCACAACGGCCCATGAAGGCGCCAAAACGGCCCACGAGGGCCCCGAAAACACCCCCACGATGTTTCCGAATGCCAGCTTAAAGACCCCCAAGGCACCGCAAAAAGCTTTCCAAGGGGCCTTCAAACCACAAAAATCGTCACATGCCCTCCGTAAAACTTACAATTTTAGCATATTCGCCTTTCGGATTTCATCAGCTTTCAAGACGGTTTCAAAGCTCCCGAGATCGCCTCCAGACGCCCCAAAAGGCCCCCAAGAAAGCTTCAAGACGGCCGAGCCGGGCCCCGCGATCGCCCACGAGAGCCCCAAGACAGCCCATAATGGAACCAAGAGGCCCCCCAAGGGCTCCTAGCACAGACCCAAAAGGGCCATGGGAGGTCCCCGGAAGTGCCCAAGATGGGTCCACAGGGGGCTCCAGCGGGCCCAAGCTCCCCAAGACGGCCCAAGAAGGCCCCAGGACGGCCCATGAAGGCGCCAAAACGGCCCACGAGGGCCCCGAAAACACCCCCACGACGTTTCCTGCCAACATAAAGACCCCGGAGGCACCCCAAAGAGATTTC